CCGCGCGTACGCATCAATCGCCTCTGAGCTCTATTCCCTCGGAGAGGTGCGTATGAGAACAATAAAAATTCTTCAGGAATTAAAGTTTGAAGGAGGTCCCAGGCGGGGGCGCCGTTATGAGATTTCAACGTAGCTCAGTTGTGCGGGAGGTCCCAAGCGGGAGCGCCGTTCCTTAAGTAAATTGTACGGAAGTCTCAGGCGGGAGCGAGGAAGTCTCAGGCGGGAGTGCCGATCCTGAGTAAATTGTAAGGAAGCCTCAGGCGGGAGCGGGGGTCATGAGAAAATTGTGAGGAAGTCTCAAACGGGAGCCGTTGCTGTTGTTGTAATCAGGGGGGGCAACAACGCAGTTTGAGGATCAAGACTTCCCCTGTCAAAAAACAAGGTGCGAGCGTCGAGGGGCGCACTTTGACTGAGAAAGATCAGTGTGCACCGGTGGGGGGGATCAACAATAATTATTCTTCAGAAATGAGAGTACAACACCACCACCAAGAACAATAACAATAACAATAACAAGAACAATAACAAGAACAATAACAATAACAATAACAATAACAAGAACAATAACAAGAACAATAACAAGAACAAGAACAAAAACAATAACAATAACAAGAACAATAACAAGAACAACAACAACAACAACAACAACAACAACAACAACAACAACAACAACAACAACAACAACACTCCGGCGAGGCCCGCCCCTGGGGCGACGGGAGGCCTCCGAGATAGTTAATGCCCTAAGACCGGGCGAACGAGAACATGCGGCGGAGGCCGGTCCACGAGAGGGAGCAGGAGGAGAGGGAGGAGGAGGAGGAGGAGGAGGAGGAGGAGGAGGAGGCGGAGGAGGAGGAGGAGGAGGAGGAGGAAGTAGAGGGAGGATCAAGAGGGAGGAGAGGAGGAGGAGGAGGAGGAGGAGGAGGAGGAGGAGGAGAGGGAGGAGCAGGAGGAGGAGGCGGAGGAGGAGGAGGAGAAGGAGGAGGAGGAGGAAGAGGAGGGGCTCGACCACGAGAGACCTTCCACAAGAGACCCAACCACGAGACCCGCAGGACGTCCATGGATTTTTGGTGAGGGAGCGCCACGCTCGCCATAGCAAAGCCATCGGAACCCAAGAAGCCCAGGGCACCCTTGAGGCAAGCAAGATGGTTCTCGGCATGGGCCTCCACCGTACAGACACCTCGAACCTCGAAGCATCGAACCATCGAGTCGCCTCTTCCTGCGGGGAGCCTCCCGGAGGCCCACGCAAAAAGAGGGTGGACAGCTTCCGGAGACCTCACACCCCATCGAACCCCGGACATCTGGGCCTCCTCCTGCTCCTCCCTCATCCTCCCCCGTCCTCCCTCCTTCCACCCCCTCTTTCTCCCTCGTCTCCCGCATTCCCCCCCTCCTCGTTTCCCCCTCCTCCCTCATTCCCCCTCCTCCCTCATTCCCCCCTCCTCCCTCTTCCGTCCTTCCTCCCCCCTCCTCCCTCACTCCCCCACTCCTCCCTCCTTCCCTCCTCCCCACCTCCTGCTCCCTCCTGCTGTAATAAGGGGCGGGCTTCAGCTCGCCCTTCTGGGTGTAGGTCTCTTTGTGGCGGATGTTCAGCCGCCGCGCCTCGCCGCGGGGCCAAGACTGGAGGTGAGGCCACAGGTCACTGCACCGACCTTGCAGACGTGACGCAGCGGATCTTCGCGTGGCTTATTCTGCCAGTGCAAAGCCCCGAAACGGCGAGCGGAAAAAAAACAGATGGGATTTCACGTGGATTTGTTTGAAATCTTCACTCCTGGCCAAACAGATCCGCACGAAAATCACTTCGAAATCCGGAGCGAAATTCTCCAGGACACTCCCGGCCCATGTGGAGCTCGCCCTGGGCGGGGGAGCCGCGTGCGAGGTGGCCCACCAGGGCCGCAAGCGTGGAACTCCCCGCGGGAGCACGATCCGCGTGAACCGCGTGCGAGGTAGCCCACCGGGGCTAGAGGTGAAACTCCCTGTGGGAGCACGATCCGCGTAAACCACGTGCGAGATAGCCCATCGGGGCCGCAAATGGAGCTCCCTGCGGGAACACGGCCCGCGTGTACCGCGTACGAGGTAGCCCGCTGGGGCCGCAGGTGGCGCTCCCCGTCGGAGCACGATCCGCGTGAACCGGATGCGAGATAGCCCACTGGGGGCAGACGTGGAGCTCCCTTTTGGAGCACGATCCGCGTGCACCGCGTACGAGGAGGCCCGTTGGGGTCGCAGGTGGAGCTCCCCGTGGGAGCTCGATCCGCGCGAGCCGCACGCGAGATAGCCCACTGGGGCCGGAGGTGGAGCCCCCTGCAGGAGCAAGATCCGCGTAGACCGCAGGCGAGCTTGCCCGCCGAAGGCCGCCGGTGGAGCTCCCCGTGGGAGCACGGCCCGCGCGAGGGGCGTGCCGAAGTGGGCACGGGGAGGGCCGCGCGCGAGCCTGCCCGCTGAAGGCCGCTGGTGGAGCTCCCCGTGGGAGCACGGCCCGCGCGAGGGGTGCGCCGAAAGTCCGCGGGCGAAGGACGGCAGCAAACGAGCTGTCCCGCCGTCGGGGACGCCTGCCCCCTGGGCGGCTGGAAAAGCTTCAGCCCCTACGCTGCCACCGTGAGGGCTTAGAACTGTCAAGGCTTCCCAGCCGCCCTGGTAAAAAAAAATAAAAGAAAAAAAAAAGAAACAAAAAACACATGCTTCCCAGCCGCCTGGGGCAAGACAAGAAGAAAAAAAAAATCAACACAAGTATAAAAAAAGCTCCCCCGTACAATAAAAAACAACAGTGAAACAAGGAGACAAAAAAATATAAAAAAAAAAACATCTAAGAGCCAAAAAAACCAAAATATAACAACAACCAAAACCAATAAACCAACCCCGTCCCTACCAAAAACCTCTTGGCAGTAAATGCCCAAACTAACCCACAACCCAACACAACCCGCACACCCCAAACAGCCCTCGCCCCCCCACCTCTTGCACCGTTCTTCGCCCGGACGTAGGCAACATCTGGATGTGGGCGCGGGCGAGGGAGTAAAAGACAAGGGCGGCGTCGGAGGCGGACTGTAGGCAGGAGACGGCGAAGGCGGCTAGGCGTGTTGAGGAGTCGGAGGCGGCGTCGGTTGCGGCGTGCGGCGGCTGTGCGACGTTCCGTCGTGCGTTGCTAGATGCGTGCGGCGCCGTCGTTCGGCGTCTTGTCTACCTTGTCCGGATTGCGTTTCGTCTATTCTCGCACCATCCCCCAGTGTCCGCGCCTGTTTAGGCTCCCCGTGGGAGCACGGTCCGCGCGAGGGGCGCCCCGAGAGGGGCAGGGGGGGGAGGGGGCGTGTGCGGTCTTGCCCACTGGGGCCGCAGGTGGAGCTCCCCGTGGAACACACGATGCGCGTGGCGGGGTGTGCCGACATGGGCAGAGGTGGGCAGCATGCGAGCTGGCCCACTGGGGCCACCTGGCGCTCCTCCCTGGGGGAGGCCGGGAAAGCCCGGCAAAGCCGCCGAAATGTTGAGACGGCCCAAGATGACCCCCAAGATGCTGCCAAGACGCGTCTGAGGCTACCAAGACGGCTCCAAAAGAGAAGCCAAGATGGCGCCAAAATGCCCCCTCGACGGCCCAAGATGCAGGCCAAACGGCCTAAGATGGCTTCAAGATGGCCCCAGACGGCACCGGAGGCCGTAAAGAGGCCTCCAAGACAGCCCAAGGGGCCTCCAAGGGGTCCTCCAGGAGGAAGGCCCGAAGAGGCCAAGATCATTGATAGGTGCTTTAAGGATTTGGGCACGTGCTTTTCGTTCGGTCTTGCGACGGCCCGAGACGGCCCAAGAGGCCCCCATGATGCCCCACGAGCGCCCAGGAGACCTCCAAGATGGCTCCATGACGGCCCAAGAGGCCCCTATGATGGCCCGAAGAGGGCCTCAAGACAGGCCAGAAGGGCTCCAAGACGCCCACGATGGCCTCCAAGACGGCCCTGAGAGGGTCCACAGCCGGCCCAGAGGAGGCCCCCAAGACGGCTTCCGACGGCGTCTGCCGTGCCAGGAACGCCCTACGACGGCCAAAGTGGCCCCCAAGAAGCTCCCAAAGGCACCCAAGAGGGTCAAGGAGGCCCCAAGGAGAGGCTTCCAAGAGGCCCTCAGGAAGATCCCGGGAGACCCCCAGAGTGCCCAAATAGGCTCCCAAGAAGCCTCCTCCTCCTCCTCCTCCTCCTCCTCCTCCTCCTCCTCTTCTTTTTCTCACAAAGGCTGGGGGAACACGTGGTTCGATAGCTTGGCCGAGCTCTGGCCAGAACGTTCGGCCACATAGGCGCTGCCAAAAAGGCAGGGGGCGGCGGTGATTCGCCGCAAGCGTCTTCAATAGAACTACCGATGTACAGATACATGCAGCCGTACAAAGATGAGTGTATACATTAAATGTGCGTATATAGATATGCGTGTGCCTGATTGGACCCCGGGAAGAAGACCCGAACACGTCCATATCCACAACCTCCCGAGATCTAAGAAGATCGGATCCCCGGGCGGTGGATACGAAGAAACCTCAGTCTCGGAGATCCGCTCTCTCGCCCCCCCCGCATCAGGAAGGTAAGGATCGAACCTTGCACGTCGGGTTCGCGCTGCGATGCTGCGGGCCTGAGTGTATCGTTCGTTCAACCTTCGACGATCGCGGTCTTCCAATTATGCAGATCGCTCGATATCGGCCGATTCCCAATCCCTGGCGGCGTTCAACGCAACGCATGCAGAACCACCTCCTTCCTTATTCCCTCCTCCCTTTCGATCCTCCAACTTCTCATCCTCTTCCTCACCCTCGCCTTCCGCCTGCTCTCTTCCTCGCCCTCGTTCTTCTCCTCCCGCTCCCCCCATCGTCTTCCTCATCCATCCTCCCCTTCATCATCTGTCACTGCATCCATCCCTCCATATTTTCCGGACTTGGCCTCAGTCTTCCTATTCATTCTTCACCTTCCCCCGACTTTTCCTAACTCCCCCCTCTCACTCATCCCTCCCCATCTCCCTCCCTCACCCCCTCCTCGTCCTCCTCCGACTCCTCCTGTTCCTGCTCATCCCTTGAGCCCGCCCTCCAACAGGGCCCGTGCGCATCGCTTGATGTCGCGGCGTTCTCGTGTCTGAGCGTACCTCGGCTCAAGACATCGGCAGATGGCTCCAAGCAGAACAACGAGCGCGCGAACCCATGCAATGATTCACTGCTGTGGCCTGCCGTGGCCCGGCACCTGCTGGGCCACAAAAAAGCACAAGGAGACAGGCGCACTTGGACCGTGCGGCTCGCATGCACTGCTGTAGTCACTGCTGACACGCAAGGCATCCTCATTGGGACAGCGGGCAAATAGCACATGAAGAATGTACCACTTGGTACTTTTCGGCGGCTGCACCAATTCTACAGGCAGTGCGCAGACACCATGTTGACCTCCTCCCCAGAACCACATGCGGAAAGGAAAGACAGAGGGCCACCATGGGACCGTCAGAAGACCATCATGCGCTGCACAAGGGCCAGCGCAGAGGACGGCATTCGAACAGCATTCTGACTTCGCATCGAAGGATCTGCGGGCGGAGGGGGAAGACGGGGCACTCTCGTGGGACCACCGTGGGCCTATCACGCGCTGCACCAAGGGCCGTCGTGAACGAGACCACACGGGAGGGGGGGGCACTCCTGAGCCTGCGCGGCGCCACCGCTGCCCGCTGCGGTCGCCCAGCCGCTGTCGCCGCAGGCCACCGTGGCTGCTGCGGTGACCACTGCGGCCCCAATCACTGCCGCCGCGAGGCCACCGCTGGCACGCGGCGCAGAGCGTCTGCCAACCAGCCCACAGTCTCTCTTGTCGGACGGCCCGTCACTATGGGGGCACCGTCATGGCGATTGATTCGGGGACGATGAGCACCATGCGCAAGCGAGGCAGACGTCCAGCATGGCAGGATCGCCGTCATCGGCGCGGTTGGTGCTGCGTCTCGCATGCGAGTCGCGGGAGGACAGGAGGGCGGAGAGGAGAACGCGGAGGAGGGTCACAACGTCCAAATCTACTCCGCACTGTGGGGAGCACTACCACCCCATACCAAACGGGCCGACTGATTGAGAGCACAAAAGGGGAAGAGGATGCTGAGTGCCACCAGCCCTCTCGGCGCAGATGGTTTAGAGAAATGTCTCCACCCCCCTGCCTGCCCTTCGTGGAGCCGTTTGGCCCTACACCTACCCTGCGCTGGAAGACTTCCCCCCCTGCCTAGCGGAGCTTCCTGGGGGCCTCAGGGGGCCGCGTGGGGCCTCTGCTTGAGAACGCCTAGGGGCTCTTGGAGCCCTCTCGGGGCCGGGCTGGTGCCGAGGATGTTTGCCCTTGCTGGTGGTATATTCGGGATTGGCAGGCTTGGGCCCCTCTTTGGGGCCCTCTCACGGGCCAGTGGTGCCGTCTCGAGCCGCTCCTGCGCCCATATTGGGGCTCTCTTGAGGCCCCCCTTGAAACCATCGAACGGCCTCAAATGCCTTCCGCTCGACGGAACAAAAACGCTTCTTCCGAATTCTCCAGTTACTCGACGCGGAGATTCCCATGTGCATCTCATTTCCTGGCACGTCCCGGTGTGTGTGTGTGTGTCCCGGTGTGAGAGTGGACGACGGGTACGACGACGACGACGACGACGACGACGACGACGACGACGACGACGACGACGACGGCGGCGGCGGCGGCGGCGACGATGAGAGGCAGCGACGACGGCAACAACTCACACACAGGCAGTGGGCAGGCCCCTTCCCTCCCCTTCCCCTTCCTCCTCGTCGTACTCCTTCCTTGCTCTGCATCCTTCATTCCTTTTCTCCCTCCTGGGTCCGCCTCCTTGCCCATACGTCCTCTCTCATCCTCCCTGGCGGCCGTCATTCTCCCTCCTCCCGCGTCCTCCTCCTTCCTCCTCCTCCTCGCCCTCCCTCCTCTTCCGTCCTCCCTCCTCTTCCCAGGCAAGCCCCCCCCCCCCCTTTCATGGCGCCCCCCCTCTCCGGCTCCCTCGAGACCGAAGCCTTCCCGGAGCGCCTCGCCCACGACATCCCCACGAGACGCCCCGCAAGCAGCGAGGTGGGCGGGCCAAACGCGGGCAGACCGCCCGCGACGCCCCCACGAGCTGGGCGCGAAGGGGCTCTGGCGACTCCCCACCCCTGGGGGTGCTGCAACCGACGCCTCGCCCGAGACAGGCCCACAGTCTGTTCTGATCCTCCTCCTCCTCCTCCTCCTCCTCCTCCTCCTCCTTGGGGTCTGGGGCTGGCAGGTGGGCAAGCCGCCCGAGACAGCCCCACGATCGGCACGGAACGCAGAGGCGCCTGCGCCACCAAGCGAGCAGATCGCCCCGAGACGTCCTCAAACGACGCTCTGAGAGTCAAGGAGCAGTGGCAGCCCCGCAGGCGCACCGCCCGAGGCATCCCCACAACCTGGGCGCGAGCGGGGCCGTGAAGCCACCCTTAGTGGCTCCCCCGTCGGGGTGCTCAAACCAGCGAATCGCCTGAGACATCCTCGCAGCCTGCTCTGAAAGCAGAGAAGTCTGGGCAACCAAACAGGAAAGCCGCCCGAGACGTCCCCACAATCTGGCTGCGCACGGGAGGGTGAAGCCATCACTTGCGGTTCCCCCTCGGGGTACTGAAGCTAGCACATCTGCATAGGCATACTTGCAGCATGCTCGGGAGGCACAGGAGTATGGGCAAGCAAACAGGCAGACCGCCCAGGACATCCCCACAATCTGGGCGCGAAAGGGGCCCTGAGACCCCCCCTTGCGACTCCCCCTTGAGGTGCCGAAAACAGCGAATCGCCTGAGACAACCGCCTGAGACATCCCCACATTCTGGGCGCGAGCGGGGCCGTGAAACCACCCTTAGCGGCTCCTCCTCAGGGTGCTCAAACCAGCGAATCGCCTGAGACATCCTCACAGCCTGCTCTAAAAGCGGAGGAGTCTCAGAGTGCGAGTGAGGCTGATTGTGAGCGAGTCTGAGTGCGAGCGATTCTGAGTGCGAGTGAGTCTGAGCGTGAGTGAGTCTGAGTATGAGTTAGTCTGCGTACGAGTGAGTCTCAGTGTGAAGAAGTCTGAGCATGAGCGAGTCTAAGTGCGAGTGAGTCTGAACATGAATGAGTCAAAACAAGGAAGAGGAGGATGTGAGCGAGTCTGAGTCTGAGTGTGAGTGAGTGAGCGAGTTTGAGTGAGGAGGAGCAGGAGGAGAAGGGGGAGAGGGAGGCGTGAGGTGTGAGGTGTGAGTTGGAGGCGTCTAAGTCATGAAAAGCCACACCCTGGAATTTGGAAAAATGAAAGCTACCCAAACAGGGATTGCAATGCGACGTTCTTGCCTGATTTCTGAACAAATTGCAGAATGCGAGATTTGCCTCTTGGGGCTCTCTCGGGCCGTATCGTGCCGCCAGTTGGCTCTTTTTGAGGCTGCCCTGGGGCCGTCTTGGGCCTCTCGTGGGGCTCTTTCGGGCCGTGCCATCTTGATCTCGTGGGTCCTCCTGGGGGGCGCCTTGCGGCGCCCTCCCTAATAGGGCGCTCTTGGGCTGGCGCGAGGCCACCTTGGGTCAACCTGCGGGGTGCCGTGGGCCATCCGGGCCACACTCGACGCAAACCTGGCCGCCGATGAGTATCGTTTAACCGATCCCCATCCTTGTGGCAGCGAGGAGGACGAGGGTCGATCCGCTGGAAACGACAGCGCCACGCAAGAATCGGGTGGCAGCGGACCGTCGGAGTGCTGACATCGACGTGGCTCGGGCCGGGTCGACGTCAGAACATGATGCATGGGATCGAAGCGGACCCTGCGGAGGAAGGGGGAGAGATGGAGGCAGGCCTGGTCTGTCGGGCGCGCCGAAGATGAAGGGGCCCAGGGACGCACGAATAAATGCAAACAAATCCCAGGATTCCCCGTATTTCCATATATTTTCTGGGGTCTCGTCTGCCCCCCCCACTTCCCATAGTTCCCCACAGCTTTCTGGAAGCCGACGTTCCACTTGTGTCCGTGTTTCTTCCCCCCCTGAGGAGAGGGGGGACAGCAGGAAGGAAGGGGGCGGCACAGCATGGCCCCAGGCATGCACGCGGGCGAGGCGCGGGGGGGACATGCTTTGAGCAGGGACCGACCGTCACGGCATTCCTGAAGGCCTACCACAACATGTTAGTAGGACCCACACGTGTTCCAAAAACAAAACCATGCTCTCAGAACATCAGCCCGGCGTGTCGAAGCAAGCCAGGCTCGGCCAGAAATGTTCTGAGAACACTCCGTGCAGACCACAAAAGCCAATCATAACATTCTTTTGAGCAGGGACCGGCCGTCACGGCATTCCTATAGGCCTACCACGACGTGTTCCTAGAACACACAAATGTTCTAGAAACAAAAACCATGTTCGTAGAACATAAGACTGCTGATGTAAAACAAGGCAGTCCCAGCCAGAAATGTCCTAAGAACATTTCGCGGAAGCCACAAAAGATTCTCAGAACATCGTTTGGTAGGCCTACGGTGGGGGCATTGGATAAGGAACCCTTAGATAAGGAATCCAGGGTCTGGAGGCTGGTGGAACTCCAATCGAAGCTTGGCCATGGATATCAACGGCGACCTTATCAGGAGGTCTGCAGCATCCTGGGCGCATTCCTCGACCAACGCCCCCACCATATAGGCACGCCAAGACGCTTCGCCACTGCTTGATTCTTTGGTGAGCCCAGAGGCATCCTGGGACGCTTGGCCACTGCTCGAATGATTCGGCCACTGCTCGAGTGACTCTGGGTAAGAGAGACCTTTGGTGCGCGGCTTTGGGGGAGCCGCGGGGGGGCCGAACAAAAGCTCGCAAGACGCTGCTGGCTCATCGCGTTCGGCGGTCGGGGGACCCCATTGGGCCCGCACCAAAGGTCACTCCGGTGAAAGGTCACTCTTACACGTCGTTCATTTCTAATCCAGCTCATTTCTAGATGTGCTCGTTTCTAATTGTTCCTGGCCCCCTAGTGGCCAGGAAGGGGCCCAGGATAGAACAATCAGAAATGAAAGCAACTTGGCCCCAAAAAAATCAAAGAACCTTCGAAGAGTTAGAAATGAACAACGTGTGCGTCTGGTCGATCGAATGATGGCTGGGGCCCGTCAGGCGCAGGCGGACGGGCAGCCGGCCGGGTCGAGGGCCCCGTCGCAGCCGCACGCCACGGGGCACCACGGGCGGATCGAGGCGATGGTCCCCTCCTGGGGGCAAGGCGCCAGAGGGGCCCAGGGGCACACAAAGGAACACACACACAAAACAAAAAAAAAAACAGGATGCTCTATACTTGTCTTTTTTTTTGTTCATTCTCGTCTTCCCCACCCCCCCACTTCCCATCTTGTCACACATCTTGCTGGGAATCGACGACGGCTAGTGTCTGTGTTTTTCCCCTCCTGAGAGGAAGGGGACGAGGCGGAGGGTCGGGGGACGTCGACGTCGGCTACAAGCAGAGGTGCCTCCAGGCAAGAGTGACCTTTTGTGCTGTTTGCCGATCGCTGCATACAATGGAGGCCCGACCGCAAGAAGCCTTCCACAAGAAACCCAACCCTGAGACCCCAGAGCGTCCATCGACTTGTGGTGTGGGAGCGTCACGCTTTCCATGGCAAAACCATCGAAACGTAAGAATAGAAGAATAACGAAAGCACATGAGCATAAACTTTTGGCGCTCCGCGCGGATTTCTTGGATACGCGCTGGACCCCCCACCCTGGCGCGCGGAGCGCGCCAGGGGCGGCGCCGCAGGCGCCGCCGGGGGGCCCAGACGCGGATCCGAGAAATTCGTGCGGAGCGCCAACAGTTCATGTATATGCGGTTTTCGGGGGAGGAAGAGACGGGGCCCGATCACGAGAGACCTTCCACGAGAGACCCAACCACGAGACCCGCAGGACGTCCACGGATTTTCGGTGAGGGAGCGCCACGCTCGCCATAGCAAAGCCATCGGAACCCAAGAAGCCCAGGGCACCCTGGAGGCAGGCAGGGTGCTTCCTGGCATGGGTTTCCGCCGTGTGCGCTGGCGCCCCCGCGGGGCCCGTGCGCGCGGGCTCCTGGCCCCCCCGCGCCCCCCCCCCCCCCCCCCGCGGAGGCCGCCGCTCTGCGGGCGGCTCCCGCGAGGGGGCCGCGCTCCCACGTGCAGCCTTCGCTCGGGCAGGCCCTCCTACGAGGGAAGACTGCACGAGCAGAGGAGAGGAGGAGGCAAACAGAGTCGAGCAGAGCCACAAATCTAGTCGACTATTAACTCCTTCCCTGACTCTCTGTTAGAAGACTACTCTGGAACAGGCCTTCTGTAGAGGGACACGCCCGACTCAAGTGTAATGGAGGATGACGATTAGTAAATGACCGGGGGTCGTGTTCACGCGGCGGCGCCCGGGGTGACGATTAGAAAAAGCCGGCCGCGGGCTGGAAAACTATTTTTTGTATCGTCCTCCTCCGGTCAGAAAACTATTCCGAAATAGCAGAAAACTATGCTTTTGAATCGTTCTCTCCCATTTGTTGTATGAATCGTCAGTCCCGCAGTAGCTGACAACTGACCACCTCATGGGACGCACATGGACATACTAATACTATATGTCCTCCTTGGAGGCGCGCGTCCGACCCGAACATACAGTATACCCCTCTTGCAGTATATATCGCTTCCCGAGCGGTGTGGCCAGAAAGCGCCCGCCACGACGCATATACTATGAGATTTCTCGGTGCGCGCGTCGCCCCTGGGGGGGGGCGACGCACAAATAGTATAAGTATGTTGGGGTGTTGCTTGGACGCCCGAGTTATCCGGGGTAACTCGGGTCCGGGGTAACTCGGGTTTGGGTTCCCGAAAAACGAACCCGAGTTAGCCCTGACCCGAATTACCCCTGATGATTCGGGGCTCTGGACGCCCGAAATATCCGGGGTAACTCGGGTCCGGGGTAACTCGGGCTTGACTTCCCGAAAAACGAACCCGAGTTAACCCTGACCCGAGTTACCCCCGATGATTCGGGGCTCTGAGTTGCCGACCTCACCCCTTCTGGCCACGGCCGATCCTGGGCCCAGGGGCCGTGCCTGCGCCTCCATGGCCGCGCCATGGGGGGGGGGGCCCGCCCCTGCGCCGACCGCCGGCCCAGGCTGGGCCCGGCCAGGGTCAGTGGCGGGCGGTCAGTTTAGGAAGGAGGAGGAGGAGAGGAGGAGGAAGGAGGAGGGGGAGGAGGTATAGGAGGAGGAGGAGGAGGGGGGAGGAAGGAGGAGGAGGAGGAGGGGAGGAGGAGGAGGAGGAGGAGGAGGAGGAGGAAGGGGCTCTGGGACACACAAATACATACACACCAATAACAGGAAATTCCCTACATCTTCCCATAGTTTCTGGGTTTTGCCTTCCCCCCCCCGCTGCCCATATTTTCCCATCTTTTCCCGGAGTCGAGGATTGATCGTGTCTGCGTGTTTCTTTCCCTCCTGATTTGCGTCGCCCGAGAGAGAGAAGTGCGGGGGATTCTTGGCGGCGCGCGCAAGGGGAGGGGGGGAGGGGGGGGAGGGCTTCTTGGAAGGACGCTGCTTCTTGGACGGCGCCGGCCCTACATCTATAGATGAGGCCCGCGCCCTCGAAGAAGCAGGGGTGCTTCCAAGAAGCCCTCGCCCTCCCCCCCCCCGCCTCTGCGCGTGGCTGAAGTGCGGGGGCTTCATTGGGCAGTCCGTTGAAGACTTCATGGTCCACCAACGTGGCATCTCGTGCACAGAAGAAAAAAACAAAACAGAAAAAAAAAAATAAAGGCATCTCGTGGCAGGTGGGACCAGTCAGGACGCACCCCACGCACAACCCGCCAACCCACCACATGCTCTCCCCACGAAGCCCGGCACGAGGTGCGGGCCAGTCGCGTCGTGACGACGGCGGCGCTGGTTTTGTGACACCGCGCGAACCGTTCAACCTCGAACAATGGCAGCATTCTGGCAGCGCAGACCGATCGATAGCGGTCGACTCCGGGCAACCGTCAGCATTGAACCTTGAACGACAGCAATCCAGAAGGTACCCATTCTGCTACTCCCTGGACCTCCTCTGGGGTGCGTTCCGAACAGGATTTCGAGGCGAACCCAGCGGAGGCGACGAGGGCCTCCCGGGAGGCCCAAACGGGGGAAAACGGGCGAACGGTAGCGGTACAGTAGGGGCCCCACAGACCTTCCACAAGAAACCCAACCCTTGGACCCCGGGGCGTCCATCGAAACGTCGCACATCCCATCGCGAAACCATCGAAACGCAAACCCAGGGCACCCTGGAGGCAAGAAGGGTGCTTCTTGGCATGGGCCCCCACTGTATGGGTACACGTCGTTCACTTCTTATCGTGCTCAATTCTGATTGTGCTCGTCTCTGAGTGTTCCTGGCCCCGCAGTGGCCAGGACGAGGCCCAGGACAGAAGAATTAGAAATTAGAGGATCCTGCCCCCCCCAAAAAGTCAAAGAACTCTCGAAGAATTAGAATTGCGGGCAGTACTTATATCCATATCCAGAGCGTCGTGGACTTTCCGCAACGCCGAGGCGCACTGGAAATGGATAAAATCAAGCCTCTCGGGCCAGATCTTTATCCATATCCAGTGCGTCTACGGTTTCTGGGGAAGAGAGCCCAAGAATCCAAGACGCACTGGATGTGGATATAACTATTGCCCGCAAGAGCGAGCAACGGGTAACTTCCTGGGGGTCGCCGCCGCGCTGAGGGTCGCCGCCGCGCCGCCGCGGCGAGGATCCGCCGCACGGGGAGGGCCCGCCCGCCTCGGGCCACGGAGCGGAGGAGGCATCGCGGCGGACTGGGGGAGACGAGGCGCAGCAGGAGCAGCAGGAAGTGACAAGAGGTTACAGGCATCCTACTCCCTCCTCCTCCCTCCTCCTCCCTCCTCCATCCTCATCCTCATCTTCATCCTCCTCCTCCTTCTTCTTCTCCTCCTTCTCCTCCTCCTCCTCCTCCTCGTCCTCATCCTCCTCCTCCTCCTCCTCCTCCTCCACCGTCTCTTCCCTCCACCCTCCTCGCACAAGTTCGTGTTAATGGCGAGGAAGACCTCGACCGACGCCAGGTACGCACAGCCGGTCAGGTTGCGGGGGTGAGGCGTGCCCGGGAAGAGGCTCCACACGCCCGCCAGTATGTCGTCGAAGATCCTGCCCGTGAGCACGTGGTTGACGAGGGCGTCTTTCTGCGACTGCGAGAGGGCCGACTCGCCGGGCGCGCCCTCGTAGGCCGTGCTGAAACTCAGGGCCTCGACCCCGCCGGACACGCCCTGCGCCACCAGGGGCTCGCTCATGATGTATTCCTTGACGCCCCGGATGTAGAGCTGGAAGAAGTCGCTGAAGTGGAGGTTCAGGTGGGGGGCGGCCGCTGCCATCGACTGGTAGATGGGGGGCATGTAGCTCCCCTGGCCCGTGAAGTTCCCTTCGCCCGTGTCCTCGCAGGGGAACAGGTTACCCATGATCAGCTCCCAAGTCTGCCCGGCGATCTTCCCGCACTCGGTGGGGCAACCGAACGCGCGCGTGACGAACGGGCCCGCCCATGCCATGATGCCCTGCCGGCACGCGCACGTGAAGGGGCACAGGGCCCGGAGCCTCGTCGAGTTCGCCCTGCCGCAGAGCCAGGGGTCGACGAGGAGGTCCTCGCACGTGCTCGCGCCGCTGATCCCCGAGATCTCCCTGAGCGTCTCCTGCGACCACTCCAGGGACAGGCCCGTGCTGAAGTCCGCGCAGGGCAGGAGGTCCGCCGCCTCCTCCCCCGAGGACTCGCTGATCTGGGCCACCAGCCGGAAGGAGTCCTCCTGGAAGCCCGCGTCGTGCAGAGAGGGCGGGCTCGGCGTAGCTACCGCGGGCGGTCCGACTGCCACCCTCGCGTTCCCGCCCTGCGCCAGAGCTATCAGCGAAGGGTCCACGCTCCAGCTCGCGTCCGTCCAGAGGACAGGCTGGGCGACCTGCAGAACAATCCGCTCGGTCTCGGTGATTCCCGGCTCCCGTGCGGACTGGGCCACGTGGACAACCCCCGACGCGCTGCTGTAGGAGAAGACGAAGTCGAGCTGTCCCGAGCAGAGGATGTCCCTGGACTGCTCCAGCCTGGACAAGAAGGGGTCCATCACCAGGGCGTACGCAGCCGCGAGGCCTGCAAGGATGGCGGCCAGAACCGCCAGGGCCTCCATCGCAGGGAACCTTCGCGCGTGCCTGCCCTCATTGAGCGGGGCGGCCTCCAGGTTGTGCACCAGCGTCTGCACTCGGCGGGGGAGGAAGGTCTCGAAGAACTCCTCGTCGATGCTGAGGATGAACGACAGCGCCATCGCGTTCAGCACCAGGTCCTCCATCCGAGGGGTCCTGCCCAGATACCTGACCCCGATGACGCCGAGCATGCCCGCCAGAACCACGCGGGGGAGCACGATCCCGACGCTGACAAAAAACACACGGAGCCTGGTAATCTCGACGATGCGTGCCGTCACGGTGAGCCTCTCGAGGTATCCTAGACACGAGCGGGACGACGACGCTGAGGATACAGAGTTCCTCCTCGTCGAAGCTCCATCGGCATCTTCCTCCTCGTCCGGATCCCCACCGACGAGCACAATGGTCGTGCGTGGACCGCGAGGCGTGGAGAGGACGGCATTGAGCTGAGTGAGGGCATCCCTCACCTCGCGAATGATGTGGGCCATCCACAGGGCAAGGGCCAGGAGCATCAAAAAAGGACCTCCTTCATAGAACTCGTACCAGTTCTCCATGAATGACGTGTGGATTGCTGACGTGTGCAGCTTGGGATCCAAATCACACAACTGACGGGCCAATGACTGTTGACCGACCACATCGGCGTAATCGACGTGGTGTGCCACGCCGAGCCTGAAGGTCAGAAGGCGGTCAAGGTACTGGTCGTCCAGCCGGTTTGACTCCAACATGTACTGCCACACGATGAAGCAGAACGAAACCTGGATGCACAGGTTCAGCACGATGGCGAGCACGAGGGCCAGCGAGACCCCGAGGCCCAGGCTGTGATGGCCCAGCAGCATCCCCGCGTTCCTGAGGGGCAACGATCGGGGCGGGCTGGCACATGGGGGGGACATCGACCTGCAATGGGCGATACATCGCCGACAAATCGGCGAGAGGCCCCCCGACAGCGAAACCACACGTTCCTGGGCGGCGTTGGCTATCGGGCCCTTATCGGTGACCGCTGGGCGATTGGTGGTCGATGCATGCCCCCTCTGAACTTATCGCCCCCGAGCGTTGCCCCATGAGTACCACACGGAGCCCGAGAACTCGTGCATCTCCCCCGCGTCCAGCATCCTGACCAGGGCTCAAGCTAAACAGTGCCTTCCGGTTGCGTCCCGTTTTCGTTGTCCACTGGTCTGACTTTGCTTCGCCCTGCTCTGGAAATCGAGATCCGCCGATCGGGCGCGTGAGCCTGAACAAACGGCGGTCTGAGCTGCAGCTCTGCTGGGGCGGCCCTGCGAGGGGAACAGGGGGGGGGAAGCTGCAGTTTTGTCCCCTGGACGGGGCCGGGGCTGGGGCCGGCGGTGGGGAAACCAACAGGCACAGCCAACCCGTATCAGAAGGACGCGCGACAAGGATGCCAAGGCCTTGGAAGGCTATGTCGAGGCTTTTTGTTGAGCGGGGGCAGCCAGCGAAAGTGGCCCAGGATGGCCGAGGAGGCAAGGGGCGAGGGTACCCTTGGGAAGGTTGCCCATCCTTACTGTGCGGGCTGACTGTGCTGTTACCGCTACTCCCCGGACCTCTGCTGGAATGCGTTCTGGCCAGAATTTCGAGGCGAACCCAGCGGTGGCGACGAGGCGACGAGGGCATCCGAGGAGGCCGAAAAAGGAAAACGTGGAATGGGTAGAGGTGCTGGTACCTTGTCCTCCTTGGAACGGCCAGATGGCGAGACCACGGGCGCAACACCCGAGGCTGCCCGCTGGCATCCGAGGCAACCCCAAGGGCAGGCGAAAGCGAGGGCAAGGTAGCGGTATGGGTACTCGGGGGTTCTTCGTTAAGCGTGGGGGGCACCCCCCAAATGGGGGTCAACCTCGCCTCGTCGTCGCGCCGCGAAGGGGGTCGGAGCGCATTCGGCGCGCGGTGGCTGCCCGCGACGAGGGTCGACGTGGGGCTATCGGCGGGGGCCTGGAGGGGGGGGAGGAGGATTAGGAGGAGGCGATGAGGAGGAGGGGGAGGAGGAGGAGGAGGAGGAGGAGAGGAGGAGAAAGAAGGAGGAGGAGAAGGAGGGGAGGAGGAGGAGGAGGGGAAGGAGGAGGAGGAGGAGGACAAGAGGAAGGGAGGAGGGAGGAGGAGGAGGAGGAGGAGGAGGAGGAGGAGGAGGGAAGGAAGGCGGGTCCAGGAGGTCCAGGGAACGGGGGGCCTGGGCTGGGGATCCCAAGCCCAACGACCCACCAACGAGCCAGCACGCAAGGGACCTGTGTACTGTGGCTCGCCATCGGGCTCGACAGGAGGACACCGCGCACAAGTTCCACTCGACACATACTGCCCATAGGGCGACTGCCTTCCCCTCGTCCTCCTCCGTTTCCCCCTCTTCCTCTTCCTCCTCCTCCTCCTCCTCCTCCTCCTCCCTCCCCTCTACTCCTCCCTCGTTTTCCCCCTCCCCCCCCCCCCCCCTCCTCCTTCCTCCTCCTACTCCTCCTCCTCCTCGCCCTCCTCCTCCCCTCCTTTTCCCCCTCCTCCTCCTCCTCCTCCTCCTCCTCCTCCTCCACCTCCTCCACCTCCTCCTCCTCCTTTTCCCCCTCCTCCTCTCCCTCCTTTTCCCCCTCCTGGTCCCCCTCATTCCCGCCCCCCTGCTTCCCCCTCCTCATCGTCTCTTCTGCCTCCTCGAGGAGAAGCTCCAAAACTGTTCCACAGGAGGGGCTCGCACGGAGCGTCCCAGAGCGCCCCGCATCGGCGGCACACGCCAGGAGGCCTCTACAAGCAGGACGCAAACGGCCCACAAAACCGCCAAAACACCGTTGAACCTGAGCCTTATGCTGCATCCTCGGGGGACCTTGTATGTCCCGTCGCGGCCCCATCCGCGTCGAATCCATATCGGACTCGCCGGATCCAATTTTGGGGACAGGCGAGGCCCACCGAAGATTCAGCGTACCCAGACACGCGACGTCCTGATTTTCTCAGGATGGCGTCCCCGGAAGTCTAGACCCCGAGGCGGGTTTTTTCGTCCTGGTCGTTTCTTGACGCTCCCGCGGGCCCGCGAGGGCCCCCAAGGGTCGACAATAGCAAAAAACCTCCCGTCGTGATCTTGTTCACGACGCGAGAATGTCTGGAGCGTAGTGTTACGATGTTCCAACCTACTTTAGCCTCGATCACCAAAACTAATTTCGAGCACCACTAAGGTACCGAAGCTGGACGATCTTCACGCGTCGGGCCCTGGGAGGCGACACTCGCTCGACACCGCTTCGATAGTTTTCTGGGCGCTCGCAATGGTTTCGGGGATGCGGCCCTGAAGTACGATGGGAGACGCACAATCGGGCGCTGGCAGAACTGGGTTTAGTGGAACCTGGTTTAGTGATTTGTACCGGGGGCGCCCCCCCCCCCCGTCCCACCTCCACTAACCGGCTATCACTAGCTATACGGCAAACCTGGTTTCGTGAATCTGGCCAATATCGAGGGGCCCCAGGGCCCTACCACTCACCGGGTCCCCTTACCCGGGGTCCCGGCTATACCCGACACAAGCGTAGTTAGAGGCCACTTAGATGGGGTCCGAGTAGATGGGGTCGAAGGATCGCGCCGCATCGCCAATGCATCGCCGATGTATCGGCGATGCATCGGCGGGCGACGCATCGGCGACGTCGACGTCGGCGTGAAGCAAATCGGGCTCCACATCGAGACGCATCGGCGATGCATCGGCAATGTGGCGTGATCATCCGACCCCATCTACTCGGAACCCATCTAGGAGGCTTAGAGTAGTGGGCCCCTGATCCTGGCGGTGATCTCCTTGAGCGCGCCGGCGGCGGCCTGCGGCAGCTCCCTGCAGGCCGCCACCGCCTGCGGCGCCGCGGGCGGCCGCGCCGCCGCCTCCGCCGGGCCGCGCCCGGCGCGGGGCCACCGCCGCGCCGCGAGGCCGGGGCGCCTCGCCTCATAGGCCGACCGGGCGGTCGCCGACGGGGGGGGGGCGTCAGGGGGGGGGTCGTCGAGGGGGGGTGACCTCAAGGGAGGGGGGTGACCTCAAGGGGGGGGGGCCTCAAGGGGGGGGAGGACCTCAAGGGGGGGTAGAGCGGAGAAAGGGGGCCTGCTGGGGGCCCGGAAGGCCACCTGGAAGGGGTGCTGCAAAGCCCCCCGTGTACGGGCCCCTTTCCTTTTCGCCCCGCCTTCCTGGGTGCCCATCCGGAGGCCTCGGGGGCCCAGAGGCGCACCAGAGGGGGCCCACAGGGGCCCTCTTGGGAGAGGCCCCCCCGCAGAGGGGCCCTCTAGGACCCCAAATCTAAGGAGACCCAAGAAGGGCCCCTGGCATTATGTTACTCCCATCGTACTTAAGGACCACATCCCAGAAACAATTTCGAGTACCCAGAAAAATTGTCGAAACAATGTCGACCGAGTGCCGCTTCCCAGGGCCCCGACGCATGAAAACCCTTGATTCTTTCTGGTGATCAAGGCTGAATAGACGAAGAACAAAACAGAACCATAAACTTTTGACGCTCCGCGCAGAGTTCTTGGATTCGCGCTGGACCCCCCTCCCTGGCGCGCAGAGCGCGCCAGGGGCGGCGGAGCGCGCCAGGGGCGGCGCCGGAGGCGCCGCCGGAGGGCCCAGGCGCGGATCCAAGAAACCCGCGCGGAGCGCCCAAAGTGTATAATTATGTGGTTGATCTTCTTCGACTGGCATCGCCCGAAGTCTCGACCCATTCCCCAGGACCGGCTGTTCGTCCTGAGTCGCTCTTTGACGGTCCCGAGGCCCGGCGAGAACCTCCGGAGCCGAAAACGGCGAAAAACCTCCGTCTTGACTTTTGTTCAATGCGCTGGATCTCTGGGACCCTGGCTCCGCCCCTCCTCTGGGCCCCCCCCCCCCCGAAGCGACCGCCCGAGCCGCGGGCGTCGGGCCGCCGAGGGCGCCGCCGAGGGCGCCGCCGGGCGCCAGACCCTCCAGGCCCTCGCTCTGCAGCGCGTCGCGCACGGCTTGCCGGATGACGTCGTGCAGGGGGCCGCCGCGGCCCACCGCGTGGCGGAGCCACACGGAGGCCGCCAGCTCGCCGAACTCCTCGGGATCCTCCTCCTCCTCCTCCTCCTCCTCCTCCTCCTCCTCACCCTTCTCCTGCTCCTCCTCC